CTACACAAATAAACATATTTTACATTTAACATCATAAATTAAATGTAATATATTTTAAACCTAAATTATATGTAACATTTTAGCTTTCTTCTAACATGTATCATATATTAATTTGATGCGACTTATATCAAATAAGTAACATGAATTAAATGCAACGTCAAACAAATATATTTCAGAATAACATAACAACATTAAAACATGTTAAGTTTAAGTTCTTTTACTCATAAAAGAAAGTTTGTTACTTTGTTTTCTCTCACCCTTTTTGAAATAAAGGGGGAATTCAAAATTTTTATATTATTGTTGTATTATAAAGTTCATAAATGATACATACTACAATTATGTTAGGATATATCATATAACTGATATTTGAAATATAGTATTTTAAAGTTGTGATGTTATTTTACATATGTTTGTTTAATATTACATTTGATCGGTGTTACATATTTGATACAAATCATACAAAAATAATAAGTGATATGTGTGACAAGTAATTTGTAATGCTAGATATAATTTACGTTTGAAACATGTTACGTTTAAGTTGTGTAACATGTTTTCACTCTTGACAATGAGACGATCTTTCACTCATAAAAGAAAGTTGATGGATTTATTTTCTTTTATTCCTTTTGAACTAAAGGGGGAATTTAAAATTTTTATATTATTATTGTATTATAAAGTTCATAAATGATATATGTTACAATTAAGTTGAGATGTATCATATAATTAATATTTGAAACATTATACTTTAAAGTTGTGATGTATTCAAGATATGTTTGTTTAATATTACGTTTGATTAGTATTACGTATTTGATACAAGTCATATAAAAATAACAAGTGATACATGTTACAAGTAATTTGGGATGCCAGATATAATTTACGTTGGAAACATGTTACGCTTAAGTTGTGTTGTTATTCTAAAATAATGTTTGTTTGTTATTACGTTTGATTGATGTTACATGTTATGCTATGTTATTTTTTCTGCTAATAAATAATTCACCTAAAAAGAGAACTTGAGAATTCGTAATACAAAAATCGTGATAATCCAAAATATATGTTATTCACTGAGGGGAGAGATAGGGAAGAATAATAGAAATACACTTCAAGTTCTTGATTCTAAATATAATCAAATGCATTATATATTTCATTTGAAATAGTAAAAAACTCAAAGGAAATACCATTAGAAACTTACACAAACATACAAAGTAAGTATTGAGTTACAACATTGTAATCAATTAACTCCAATAAAAAGACAACATTATATACAACACAAATTGTATATTAATTACACTTTTTTTTTAGAGAAAAAAAGAAAATAGAAAAAAAAAGAACTTATATAGAACGATGGTTGCAATGATGCATCTAATGGACCTTAATCTCCGAAACCCTTTCAACTAGTAGCCTGCAAATTTGGGCAGCGTTTATAATCTCAAAACCTTTTGCCTATTGCCCATGAAAATTTCAATATCACCATTACTTCTAATTCTCCTTGTGAAATTCTTTCTTTAACAAATACAAATTAAATAACATATATATAAGGAAAAATAGAGGTGTAACTAGTATAAATCCATGTCCAATTTTTGGGAGTAATTTGACATTTATTTTCAATGCAAACAAAATTTAAAGCTCAAGAATATTACAAATGGTAAAAGTATAAAATTTTAAAATGAAATAAATGAGATAATGATGTAGGTATATGGGAAACCATTAAAGATCCAACAGGAAAATAATACAATAAGAAAGGCGCCTAACAGATTAGGCTCTACTAACAAATTAAAAATAAGTTACCAATGGGTAGATTAGTTATGCAAGTAATAAAAATAAACAAAAACTAATCCAATCCAAACATGCAACTTTGCGAATATTCCTCACTCTGTTTCTTTGCCGAATTTTGGAACTTCTATCCTCTAGTTTAGATCTTAGAGAGAGAGGTAAATATATATAATACTTTTGAGGGAAATGAATTCAGACTTTTGGGGAAAAAAATTTAATTTCAGTCAAACTCAATTGAATAAAATATTGGGAAAATTCCACCCTAGCCTTACTTTTCAATCTTAAAGACAAAAAAGTCCTAAAAAAAAATTTATAGGACAAAGAAGTCCTATTTACATAAATATTTCCAATGAAGTCCTAAACTAAATAGAATCCTTATTTTACCCTTTCCATATTCCCCCTCATTCTCAACCCCCTTTTCTCTTTTAAGCAATCCTACGTCAAATTAAGAAAAAAGTCACACACATAAGGCGGCGGCGACGTCGTCGCTGCATATTGCCGGCCGCCATAACGTTGCTGTCTTAAATTGCCGCCACCACAGCAAGTCATTCCTGCTGTTGTGGATCAATTCGCCGGTGAGGATAATCTGCAGATCGCTGCCGAAATCGATGGGGTCACTGGAATCCATGGAGCCTATAGTTGCCTATGAGGTGAGTCTCTCATCTCTCTGTCCTCTCTTCCTCCTCTTGCTGCCCCAACACCAACACACACACACACACACACACATTATATATATATATATATATATATATATATATATATATATATATATCCTGATCTCATCGCGAAAATCGTTACAGAGAGAGGGGCAACCAGACGACCTTGCTCGTAAAAAGCTTCGATCAAGGAAGAACGAAGGCTGAAGGAGGTTTCGGCTTTGGATGATGTCGAGGACTCAGCCGCAATAGAGGGGTCGGCCGGTGAGGGCTCGGCCGTGATGGTCTGATCGGCAATGGAAGAAGAAGCTTGGTTGTGAGTTTGCAGCGTTGCTTGGCGGGATAAAATGACAGTGGCTTGCGGCGATACTTGGCGGGATGGAACAGTAGCCGAGAACAGCAGCTGTGATGTTGCGGCTGTGATGGATCCGGTAAGTACGGGCTGGCAGTGAGTTTAGCAAGGATGAACTCAGAAGGTACAGACGTATGGCGGTAAGAATTGGCCAGCTGACTCGGAACGGAGGACTTGGCTGTGTTGGTGAACTCACGCAATTTGGCGGTTACAACGAGCTCTGTTTTGGTGAAATGACCGACCAGATGAATTAGAGGAAAGAGATTTTGAGGAGAAAAGTGTGGTCTCAACGTCGTCGTCGTCGTCATCGCTGCTAAACCACCCAACTGAGCTCTGTTAAACTTTTGGTTCCTCAAATGAGTCTTCTTATTCGTTTTTTTTCTTGATTTGACGTAGGATTGGTCAAGGGAGAAAGGGGGTTGAGAGTGAGGAGAATATGGAAAAGGTAAAATAGGGATTCTATTTAGTTTAGGACTTGATTAGAAATATTTATGTACAGTAGGATTTCTTTGTCTTATAAATTTTTTTTTTTAGGATTTCTTTGTCTTTGGGATTAAATAGTAGGACTAAAGTGAAATTTTCCCTAAAATATTTTGTATAAAAATGGTATACAAGTAATATATAGGGTAAAGTGCATTAAAACCCCCTGAACTTTTTTCTCTCTCACACAAAACCCCCTTGAACTATCACAAATACATTTAACCCCCTGAATAATTCAGTTCGTTGCAAAACGTTTAAGTTCGTTAGAAATCAAACAGAAATTGAGGCATGTGGGTCACATGATAGGGCAAAAAAAATTTAAAAGACAAATTTGACTTTATAGCATTCCCACCTTACATCGCAACGACGCCACCACCATTCCCACCTTACAACTACTGTGGCACCACCACTATCCCTAAACCCACAATTGCCACTATCCCTAAACCCATAATCAGCAGTAGAAATCAACGAAAGAGATAACCACCGGGCCTTCACCGTGCCACCATCCGTACCTACCACCACCCCCACTATCCCTAAACCCACAATCAGTAGCAGAAATCGATGAAGAGAGAAAATGGAGGTGCCGCCACCGCCACCATCGATTACTCCACCATCAAAACCCTCTTCCTCCACCGATCCTCTTCTCTCCAAGGGTCGCGACGCCTCCAATTCACCAATCCACCACTCGACCGCCGTTCAATCCATTCCAAGCTCACAGTCGACAACCAAAGTTATCGGCTGTACATGACCCATTTCTAGCTGCGTACATCACCGCCGAACTCCTCATTGGTCACCAGATCTATTCAAACATCATTCAGTACAAACTAGACCAGGCCTTACTCTAAGTGCATCAACTCCGTTCAAGTACAGACCAGCTTGCGTCATCACCAGTCAGCTAATTTCCCACCACCGTTCAAGTTCTTGTATCATCGATTCTTCTTTTTCACCACCTCTGTCATTTGTCGCCGGTGGGTATGTCGACGCTCTTGGCCACCGACCATTCAAACATTCTGAGCTCATTGTCGCGGCGAGCTCATTCTGGCGACGTTGGTCTGGGCATATGGCGGCGTTGTCAAACCCATCAAATTTTCGCGTTAATGGCAAAAGCTTGCTCAAATCGTGGCGGCGTTGGTCTGGGCATATGGCGGCGGCGACATTTATTTAGGGTTTGGAAAAAACATGAAGGGGAAGAGAGGGGAGGAGAGATGCATAGAGAAGTTAGCATTGTAGGTTTTTTAAAATTACATAAATGCCTAGTTATTATGAGGTGGCAGATTCAAATGAGGGTATTTTTATACATTACACCCAATTTTGCTATAAAGTTGGATATAACACAAAATGGCGTCATTTAACTTAAGCGCTAAACGGTAATTTATATTTTCTGTTAACGGCTTACTAACCATTGCAACAAAGTGATAGTTTAAAGAATTTTACTTACTTCAAGGGGGTTTCTTGCAATTGAGACATAATCCAGGGGGATTTAATCCACTTTACCCTAATATATATTATACAAAGTCAGTAAATACCATTTTAACTTATACTGCCATGTTAGCATTTTTTACCCCACAGGTGCCGGGAGCCTCCTGTTTGAACCAAGACGAGCTCTAGGAGCCTAGGACTATGATGACTATGGAGAGAAAAGTGAAGACCAAATTGACCAATTGACCCCACACCACAGATAGAGCCCTAGTAATCAAGTAACGGTCCGTTCATTTCAACGGCTGTACAAATTCGAAATTTGAACATCCATAAACTAATGAGGATAGCAAAAAACACAGACAAAGCAGCTAGTCTCCAGATCTTGTCTTGAGCTCTTAGCAGCCCAAATGGCGTACTCCAACTACCATGACCCAAAAACCCTAAATTCAAGCTCTTGCTCACCCAATGTCCTTAATTGGATCAAAGATGTGAACAAGCCTGAACCACCATTTCAAAATGAAATTGTATTTTTGGATCGTTTAAACAAAGATTGTCATGATGGCGAGAACGACGATACAGCTTCAGTAGATTCAATGCTGTGTGTTTCGGGTTCAAGGTTGGTCCGAACTGGGTTAACGAAGACGAATTGCGGAGGTTAGTGCATAATTTCTGATAAACCTACTAATTTTAGCATATCATCATCATTGTCGTATGAATGGAGGGTTTTCGCATATGTTTATAGATTTTTTTTTTTTTTTTATTTTTTTTATTTTTATAGTTCAATTGCTTATTAAAATTTGGATCTTGAACCAGAGGACATTATAAAGTTTGTAAATGCTGGAGGAGATGAGCCTGTAATAGAAGGAGGAGGTTCCAAAATACTTATTATTCCCGATTTCGCTTTCGAGGGAGGGGATGTATTAAGAACTGATGAAAGTATAATTGATGGTGGTGATTTTGAGTCTCTTTATCAGTCAGCTCGGTTTGGGAATTTCTGTTACCGGCTTGACAACCTCTCCACCGGAGACTATTTAGTCGATCTTCATTTCGTGGAGATAGTAAACACGAATGGGCCTAAAGGGATTAGGGTTTTTGATGTTTATATGCAGGAAGAGAAGGTAAGAAAAATTTTGCTGAAAAAGTTGTATAATATTTGGTTAATTTATACAAGAATTTGTTTTTGTGAAGTTTGTCTTAATGGAGTCAAAATGGCAGGTTGTATGTGGACTTGACATTTATTCTATTGTTGGAGCCAACAAGCCGTTACAGTTGGTGGATTTTAGGGTTGCTGTTGGGGATGATGGGGTGATTGTTATTCGATTTGAAGGAGTTGATGGATTTCCAGTAGTTAGTGGGATTTGTATTAAGAAAGCACCAAAATTACATGGTAAAAATCAGTCACCTTAGTTTTGAATGAATTGTCATATCAAACATGTACACACTCTGTGTATATTTGAGGCTCATATCTATTGTTGTGACTTGAATGAAGCATCTCAGGAGAAAGAAGGTTGTGTCATATGTAACAATTGTGCTGTTGAGATAAAAGTTACTTCAGATCAGGTTAGATTAAGATTTGGCTTTGGTGAAGATTGTAAGTTCAAATTGTTTTATAATTGGTTACTTAACTTGAGTGATTTGCAGAGTAAAGGTATGAGAATGAGATCTACAGCCAAATATGAAAAGAAAATAGAGGAGCTAAGCACCCGGTGCCAGCTCAAGACAGATGAATGCTATGAGGCATGGATGTCACTGACAAGTGCAAACAAGCAACTAGAGAAGGTTATGATGGAGCTTGACAACAAATCTTTCCAAAATCACTGTCTAGGTAAGGTGCAATTCACTGAAGTGTTCCGCCACATTTATGGATATTTTTAATTTATCTGTTTGTTTGAAAATGCCAAAATTTTCTTATTATGCATTATTTTCAATCAGATCAAGCTATGGTCAAACAAGCAGCAAAGATGAGGGATGTTTCCAGAAGGTATGAACATGACAAGAGGTTATGGGTGGCAGCCATTGATGAATTCAGAAGAAAAATTACGGTAAACTTTCAAAGATAGTGAAATTCTATTCACGGATCTGTTTCTAGATTAATTTGGGTATGAAAATTACTTCTCTTACTTAAAAAAGAAAAGAAAAAGAAAGGGGTTTGAGTTAATTTATATTGAATTATTGATTATTTGCAGACCATGAAGGACGAGCATTCTCAGCTCTCCCGTGAAGCACACGAATGCGCTGATTCAATTCCCGAAATAAATAAGATGATTTTTGCAGTTCAAGCACTGGGTAAGTTCATATTGCACTTCTCTGGTGTTGATAGTTGATTTTCTTATTAAATTTATGTGCATTGCAGTTGCGGAGTGTGATGATCTTAAATTGAAGTACAATGAGGAGCAAGGGAAGAGGAAGAAGCTTTATAACCAAATTCAGGAAGCAAAAGGTGCCTTTTCTTTTTCATTTTGTTTTCCTCATTTTCTTTTACATAATTAAAGCTCTTTTGTACGTCCAGTCCAGTCTTGAAAATCAAACTTACTAAAGCTTCTTTTAAACCGGCACATATCAGGGAACATCAGGGTATTTTGCAGGTGTCGCCCATTAACTAAAGAGGCGGCATCATCTGGGTGTGCAACAGTTGTAGATTTTGATGCGGCTAAGGATGGAGAGCTTGGGATACTTACAGGCCCTTCTGCGAAGAAAATATATAAATTTGACCAGATTTATAGCCTAAAGGATGATCAAGGTATGCACCATTTTGACACGATTCTTTGAATTTTGGGGAAATATCTGTACTTCACTAGCTTTTTCATTAGGGTATACCTGGTTTATTGTGTATAAATACATTGCAAATCACGCTTGTTGTAATGAATTCCTCAACAATTTCATTCCGCTCAATAATTTTTGCTTGTGCTTCTTTTACTTTTTTCAGCTATTCCTAAAATTCTTCTTGCAAATTTTCTCACTCTGGTTCTTTGCTAAAATTATATAATTATAAAGCAATTTTAGATACAAATAAGTTTGGAGGAACTTTTATGTGTCTCACAACCAAAAATAATTTTGGGGAGTGGTCATTTTGTTTTTGGATATCGGATCAACAAACAGTTTCTAAGAGAAATTGTGATTTTGTAAGCAATACTATGCAAGTGCAATAAATTTATTTCTATCATTTTGACCCGGATTTCATTTGCCTCAACAGTTGATGTGTTTGCGGATGCTTCGCCTATGGTGATTTCAGTATTAGATGGCTACAATGTATGTATATTCGCATATGGGCAAACAGGGACGGGAAAGACTTACACGATGGAGGGTACTGAGCAGAACCGAGGAGTCAATTATAGGACTTTGGAGCTCCTGTTTAAACTGGCTGAAGAAAGGAAAGAGACTTTTACATATAGCATATCTGTCAGCGTGCTTGAAGTTTACAATGAGCAAATCAGGGACTTGCTTGCCACCTCACCTGCATCGAGGAAGTAAAACTTCAGTCTCATTCATCCATTCAAACAATAAAGTAGAACTTGAATTGATTTTCTTTATATTGTTTTTGGGATAGAAATTTGGCTTCTTAACCACGTAAAGGAAAGGCTTGGCCGACTAACATACAGTTTGCTTGATTGAAGTTCAATTGTTTGTTTGGTAATCAATGAATTGCCTATTGATATACAAATTTGCTTTTTTAGGTTGGAGATAAGGCAAGCATCTGAAGGGGTTCATCATGTGCCAGGAATTGTTGAAGCTAAAGTTGAGAACATTAAAGAAGTGTGGGATGTTTTGAAGGCTGGAAGCAATGCAAGAGCTGTAGGATCAAACAATGTGAATGAACATAGCAGCCGATCTCACTGGTTAGTCTGAATCTAATTTTTTTTCTCACTGTCTTCCTGCTTATAGACGATCCATACTTTATGGTACCAAATTTTGGGCAGCTAGGAAACAACATTTACATAAAGTGAGTGTGGCAAAAATGCGAATGTTGAGATGGATATGCGGGAAGACTAGAAAGGGTAGAATTAGAAATCATCACATTTGGGAGATGGTTGGAATGGCACCAATTGGAGATAAAATGAGAGAAAATAGGTTAAGATGGTTTGAGTTTGAACATGTCCAAAACAGACCTTTTAGGTGCGCCGGTTAAGAAAAGTGGCATAGTCGAGGAAGACCAAATTTAACGTGGGTAGAGTTGGTAAAGAAAGATGTGATAGCATGTGTATTGACTGAGGATATGGCCTTAAATAGAGCGGAATGGAAACATGGGATTCATGTAGCCAACCTTGGGAAAAGGCTTGGTTGTTGTTGTAATGTTTTCTTGCTTATCTAAAATAACTTCTTTCCTTGCCCTACTATTATTGTTGTTGTTTTTTCCATTTTTGAAAGCATGCTTTGCATAATGGTGAGAGCGAAGAATTTAATGAATGGTGACTGCACAAAGAGCAAGCTTTGGCTTGTGGATTTGGCAGGGAGTGAGAGGCTGGCAAAAACTGAAGCGCAGGGAGAACGGCTCAAGGAAGCTCAAAACATCAACCGATCACTTTCAGCTCTTGGAGATGTCATATCTGCTTTGGCGGCCAAAAGCAGCCACATACCATACAGGTTTACTTTTTATAATCTTACTTTCTGACATGTCCTGTTAGTTCATCAAATCCTAATTCGATTGTGGGGATTTTGCAGAAACTCGAAACTCACACATTTACTTCAGGATTCACTAGGTAAGCCAAATGAAGTAGGTTTTATTTTGGAATGCGATGTCAGTAAATCAGAAAACCCTGCCAAATGGAGTCGTTTGGTTTTGCGATTACATTCAAGAGAGCATTCAAGAGCATTCAATAAGCCATTAAATTCTTCTCTGAGCTTTCACTTTCAACCATCACTACATTCTCTCATCCTAGAACTTGAGCTTCATTAATATTATGATATTCTCTAGTTGTGAGCTTACACTTGTATATCAATTGAGAGAGATTCTTGTATTTCATTTACAAACTTTGCTACAATCTTGTAAGGGTTGGTGTGACCCAAAAGAAGCCTAGGAGAAGGGTGTTCTCCTAGCAAGGAAAAGAAGCAAGGTCTTGCTTCAAATTTGAAGGTTTGCTCTCCACCATTAAGGAGAAGCTCTAGTGAATTTGGGAAGTCTCAAGGGGGATCTTGAGCCGAGGAGTAGGAGTTTCCGAACCTCGCTAAATCACCGAGTTCATTGTTTGCATTTTCCTATCTCTATCTCTTTTATTCTTGTGCTATATATTGCTTAGCAACATTTGACATGAATTAAAAACTTCACAAAATAAATGTCATTATGAATAATTGTTATTATTGAAACCTGATATAGAATATTGAAAGTGTTATTTTTTCATTTTTTTAAGTACTCATTGTAGATTACGTAAAACTCAAGATGTACTCATGCTTAGTGCGGTGCAAAACAATCTAAACGCAGTGGTTTTTGTCCTAGAAACAACATCCATGAGGCCAATTTTATGATGTCAGTGTATGAATGCACTAGATTATATTTTTAACGACCTCCTCTAAAAGTGGATACTTGTATGAGATGCCAGAGTTCAGGTCAGTCTAAATTCCAAAGAATTTTTTAGATTAATATAAAAAGCCTAAATTTATGTGCTACAGGGGGTGATTCCAAAACGCTGATGTTTGTGCAAATCAGCCCTTCAGAGCAGGACTTGGGAGAGACTCTAAGTTCACTAAATTTTGCAACTCGGGTTCGAGGGGTTGAGTTAGGTCCTGCAAAGAAACATGTTGATACAGTTGAGCTTCAAAAGTTGAAGTTGCAGGTAAGCTAGTTATGGCCATTTGAAGTACTCTTTCATTAATCATTTCTTCTACACATGCACAATCCGAAGAACACTTGGCCTTGAGTGTCTTCTTCCATTGGTAAGTCGATGAATCAATGCTCTTCTTTTCCCTGTTTTTTGAATTTTTAAAGCTTGATAAAGCAAAGCAAGAATCCAGATCCAAAGATGAAGTCTTACAGAAGTTACAAGAGAATTTTCAAAACTTAGAGGCTAAATTGAAAAGCAAGGACCAGATTTACCGAAATCAACAGGAAAAGCTTAATGATCTCGAAGGCCAGTTTGAGTCAAAAACCGAGTTGTGCAGACAGCTGGAGATGCGATTCTTGGAGCTTTCAGAAGTATTGAAGGGGAAGGAAGATACTTGTTCAACTCTTCAGAAAAAGGTTGTTTGTTAATGTAATATTTTGATTTCATTATCTTCCTTGTCATAGGCATCCAAAAGTTAACTCTTTGTTTTTGTTAATCCTGCCAAAGGTCAATCAGCTTGAGAACAAGATGAAAGAGCATGAGCATGTGGAGTCCAAGGTTCTTCAACACAAGGTTTTTACGGCCAAATTAAACCTCCCTGTATTACTTTTCAACACGGTTTGTGTTAATCATAACGTTACTGCATGGGTTTTTAAAATCAAGCATGAACCTTCCTATGGTCGGCTTATGTTCTAACCTTAATGAGTCAGATCAAGGTGCATGAGCCCTACAATCATTTCACCAGAGAAATATCGCATTAGATGATAAAAGATTTCTCTGGTAAAATGATGGCTGTAATGCAATGTCGTGTACTGTTCACTAACAATGGGTTGGCAGGTGCAAGCGTTGTATGGCTGAGTTCTTCCTTGGACACACCATAATCCAAAGTTATACTAATTAATATTGTACAGCTAAGAAACTAAATGTTTTGTACTATCTATTAGTGATTGTTCTTTTAGGTTGTCAAACTTATACCATGAGATTCTTAGTGGAAAATTTATCCCTTAAGAAAGATGCGAATTATTTTTTCTCTTAGTTGCTTTTTGCAATGCTGCAGAAGTTAAGGTGCTTAAAATCAAGCTGCAATATATTAATTGCTTTCTTATGCTTTAGCAGGTCAAGGAGCTTGAAAATAAGTTGAAAGAGAGCAAACAAGAATCTGAGCTTCAGTCAATGATCCTTCAGAAAAAGGTATGTCCGACTTATTGAATTTTTAAAGTACTGTTTGAGCTTTGCTTGGTGACCCTAATTATCACAGAAATTGCAGCCAGACTCCCCCCGCATCTCTCTCTACTGAACACAGACATACACACTTGATTTGAGTCAATTTGATTTTAATTTTCTTCTTTCATTAATGTGGTTCTTTTTAGGCTTGAACTAGGAAAGTAGGCGGTTTTTACTAATTTTCATTTTTAGTGTGGAAGATGAAGCCCCCAGATTATTTTTTCTTAGGGTGGTTAGCGGTTTTTAATAATTTTCATTTTTAGTCTGGAAAATCTCCTCTGGGCAGTGACTGTAATGGTGACTGCATTAGAGTTCCATATGATTCAAACCTACCTCTTAATAATAATAAAAATCTTCTTTATTTTGTTTATTTAGCAAAGATTCATTCATGCACCATACCAGTCTTCCATGTGACTATAGACTTGAAATGCGACCTTATTTGCTCATTATTGTTACAGATTAAGGAACTTGAAAACAAACTGAAATTGCATAGAAACAACTTGGAATCTCAGAAGCTCCATGACAAGGTTTTTTCTACTACTACCATGACCAAATGCTATGCAACAAATGCTGATGTAGCAACTAACTGGTGCTTATTCATATCCAAATTTTATGGCAGATTAAAGAGCTCGAAGAAAAGTTGAGACAGCAAGAACAAGAGGGAGAAAATATGCCGGTGTGTTCTTCTCAAAACTCAAAAGCCACTCCAAAAGTGCGCAAAAGCTGGTCAACACCAGAAGCTATAACTGACACAGATCCCCGGAGTCTGAGGGCCCTTAAATCCAGTAACCGCTCGGTTAACCAGGGGTCTGTCTTGCTCAAAGGAACCGACTCCCTGCGCGAGTTAAGGCGGAAAAGGGATAACCAAAGCAAAGGGATCGAGAACAATTTCTCATTGTCCTGTCCCTTTGTTGAGAGGAAGTTATTGCCAACCGAAACGAATGGTAAGACTAGGCATATTGACCCATCTAAAGCATTTGCAAGGGTTATAAGAACTACGAAACCATTGCCTACTGCTCAAAGGCTCATTTCCAGTAGCAGATTTAACAGATGACAAGTCAGTGTCAAGGAGGGTGACAGCAACATGATATTGGCATTACTTACGGCTCAAAAGTTCATTTCCAGTAGGCAGAAGAGCAGGGTCAAGGAGAGTGATAGCGACATGATATTGGTGGAATCCCTTTTGTCACTTTGATCCTCGTTAATTCTGAGTTCTTGTATCATACTTTTTTTTTCCCCCGAAAATGTTATTGTTCATAATATACAAAATGCTGAAATGTAGAGTGGCTTTGAGGGATAGAATTAGTGTTGATGAGTGGAGTGTGTTAGGCGGTCGAGGTTAGACCAAGCTATGTTGATGCTTTGTAATTCTTTTGGTTGTTGAATAAAGTTTTTCTATGTGATTGGTGAAAAACAAAAAAAATAAAAATAAAAAAAATAAATAAAAAATGACTCAATTATAATATTAGTATGATTTAAAATTTATTTACGTTTTAATCTTGTAATTTTAAAATGTAATTGTTCATAATGCTATAATTAAAATGTCATTGTTCATAATTTTAAAATTTTTTAAAATTAAACTTTTTAAAAGAAATTTTGATGCAATAATCTTAAAAAACATTATTAAAAAATTTTGCTAATATTATTAATTAAAATGTCATTGTTCATAATTTTAAAATTTTTTAAAATTAAACTTTTTAAAAGAAAATTTGATGCAATAATCTTAAAAAACATTATTAAATTTTTTTACTAATATTATTAATCAGAAATTTTGATAATTAATAATTTTGCATTTGTGAACATGGCTTCTAAAAATTATTAAAAAAAAAAAAAAAACTCAGAGCTTTTCCATTGAGGCTAGAACCCCTACCCTACCTTTGGGAGGTAAGGGTTTGATATGTTTGATATACCACTAGGCTACAAGCCCGTTGTTTAAAAAAAAACAAATTTCAAATTTAGAGAATAATAATATTTGATTCATAATAATTGTCAGGAAAAAAAAGTTTGTTTCATAACACTTTATTGATATGTTTCGCACATAAAGACGTAATTAAATTTTATGGTGAGAAGGCATCAATGTATGGAAACCATATTTTGTACGTTTAAATGTGTTGCAACACAATTAATTGAGGTGCAACATTAAAATTTTCCGGTGAAAAATAATAGCGCTGCACCTACTACAACACGTTACATATCATAGTTACAACAGATTTAGACTCCAATTATGAATAGTGGTTTTTTTTTAAAAATTTTTAAATTATCTCTTAACTTTTTCTTTATTTTTCTCATTTACTTTTCAAATTCCTTTAATTTCCTTAAAAAAAAAAAGAGTCAAATTATCCATTTTAAATTTTTTCATTTTAACTGGTATATTTGAATAATATTACTTTTTATATTTGTCATTATATATGTGCAAAATATATTGTGATTGACAGTATGTAATAAACATGATAAGTTAATAAAAATTTATTCAAATTTATCAATTTTTTATTCAAAAAAATGTAAATGGGATTGAGGAGCGTTCTAAAATAAAACAGGACTAACAAGAACCAACAAAACCTAAATAAATCTTTAAAAACCACATAGTATCAATGTGAAAAAATATAGAAAAAAAAGGGAAAGAAATAGGAAATGATTGATTGAATCCTGTCATTCTAACTGCTACTTTGAAAGCGAAACAAAAGTTGACCTGCATCAAAATAGTTTATTGTCAAATGATCTCTTATCCCTATTTATATGCACTTAGGCATGCTTTCCAATGGATGGCTATGATGCACATACATGTCGCATATCCAAGGGTTGGGAGAATTCTTTGAAATATTTATAAAGTTATTATAGAACTGTAGAATATTCTATAGAATGCAACATAAATTTGTACTACTACTACACTACAAGATTGCAAAGAAATTCTAAAATGTTTTAGCATGCAAACTATTGGTATCATCATTGCAGGGAATTCTAGAATGACTTGCTTTTTTATTTTTATATGCATATATTTGTGGAATTCCACTAAATTTCTTCGATTCTAAAATTTTAAATTCCTAAAAATATCTCTATTTTTCTTTTCTTTTTTCCTTTACTCTTCAAATTTTTTTAATTCTCTAAAACATAAATTCTTAAAAATATCTCTAATTTTTCCTTTCTTTTCTCTTTTCCAAATTCTTCAAATTCCTTCAATTCTCTGAAACAACAACAACATTTATTTTCTTCGATCAAACATATGATATTGTATGTGCTGAAACCTTATTTCTTTTCTGCAATTTTTTTTAAAAAATTATTATTATAGTTTTATGAACTTCAGTAATTTATATTTTAAAATTTTTATTTACTATAATTTTACTGCACTTCTATTTTTTTGAATTATTGCCTTGTTGTGCTGTTAGTTAAAAAAAAAAAAAAAAAAAAATATCATGTTCAATATTTTATCATGACACTGTAGGTAAGTCATGTGCATTGAAAAAGCTAGTGGCTTTGAGGGATTACTGTTGATGAGTGGAGTGTTAGGCCGTGGTTAGACTAATGTCACGGGCTTAGAGTTTCAGTACCACTCTAGCTGCTCCCGTGCGGCACCAAGACGTTGCTTTCACTCTCGCAAGTACTTGGTCAGCCTAACTCCCGTGCACACCTTAGCCAACACACTCCCCTCGTGCGCTTACTAGTGTTGTAGTTGCCCTCGCCCTCTCCTCACCTGGCTTGCACACTCACACACACTAAGGCACTTAAGTTGGCAAGGAAAGAACACTTCTATTACTTCAAAGAATGCTTTGTACAAGGCTAGCACTCAAGCTCTCTACAAGGCTCTCAAGACTCACTCTAGGACTTGTTGTTTGCAAAATGAAGTCCTACTCCTATTTATAGGCATCCCCATCCCTAATGGATGGCTAGGATGCATTCTAACCAACGGTGGAGATTAATTATCTAGAATCTTCTTCCACCTTCTACACATCTCCATACATATCTACAACATTCTAGAACCCTCCATACTACTCCACACAATTCTGGAGAATTCTAGAACCTTCCACACACTTCTAGAATATACTACACATATCTAGAATCTTCCACACAACTCTAGACTACTCCGGAAGACTCTAGAAACTCCACTTGCCATGCAGTTGCCATGCAGCGTCCTCCTTAGCGTCTGCGTGTCACCTGCGTGGTACAACCTCCATAGGCGGGGCGTGACATTCTCCCCCACCCATTTCCGTGACGCCCTCGTCACGGTTTCTTCAACTGACCCAGCCTCTCGCAGGTCATCAGCACTTGCGCATATGTCCTTGGCCCAAACGTACGAGCGCCCTTCGGGAGATGTGAAGTCCTCACGAGCTCCATCGTGTTGACTGCCACCTCTGGACTCTCCTTCCTGCCCACGAGCGGCACCATGCATGCGGTCTTGCCTTCCTCGCCTCCAAGTATCATCAACGCACCAAGGCATGGTAGTGGCGCGGCGTTGTTCCTGTCCATGAACTCCAGCCCCAGCACCATGTCATGGTCGTCCATCTCCGCAACTTGGAAGTCGGCCTTGCCCTTCCATCCTTGCAAGCATAGCTCCACCTCTTTGCACACTCTACTCACGCGTGCCTTCTCGGAGTTGACGGCCTTGATCCATCCCTCCGTCTTGCGCATCTCCAAGCCAAGTCGTTGCGCCTCCTCTGGGGTAATGAAGTTGTGTGTGGCGCCCGTGTCCACCAACGCTTGCACGGCTTTGCCACCAACCTGCGCATCCACATAGCGCACCCCAGCTACTTTCTTCGCCTTACCCTTTTTCTTGGTGTCATGCGCCATGCTACTCAGCATCTGCATAGCCCCCATGCACCTGTCTTCGTCGCTGCCCGTATCATCCACCTTGCCCTTGCCCTTATCCTTCACAAGGGCGCTCATGGTCTTTTTGTTGGGGCAGTGTCGCAATATGTGCGGCCCTTCGCACAAGTAGCACTTCGGCTCCCACTTGCCCTTATCGCGGCGCTCCCATTTGCCACTAACCTTGGACCTCTCTCCATGGTCCTTGCCCTTATCATGGCGTGGGCGTCTCTCCTCATCGCTGTGCTTATCATCACTAGACTTGGGCGAGCCCCGTTTCTTGAAGCGTCGGTCTCCCCCACCTTTGCCGTGGTCCCTCCTGGGAGACGTGGCCCTCTTGTCATCGCGCCTAAAGTCTTCGAGGCGCTCCGCTATAGCCATTGCGGATGCCAAGTCTCTAGGCTCCCTCCTCCTTAGCTCCGTGGCCACCCAAGACTGCAGCCCATCTATGAACAAGCACACGCGTTGCCGCTCCGGCATCTCTGGGATCTCCAGCATCAAATTGGAGTATTCCTTCACATACTCCCTTATGCTGCCCTTCTGCTTCAAGCGCCTTAGGTTGATCATGGCCAGGTCCTCAACGCACTCAGGGTAGAACTGCCTCTTGAGCTGCCTCTTGAACTCCTCCCATGTGTCAACTGCTCCTGCGCCTCTACCAGTGAAGCGCTGCCTCCACCATAGAGCGGCGGTGTCTGTGAGGTACATAGTGCCTGTCTGCACCTTCTCCTCATCATCCTCGATCTCCATGCACTCGAAGTACCGCTCCATGTGCCAAAAGAAGTTGTCAATCTGGCGCGCATTCCTTGCCCCATCGTACTCCTTGGGCTCCGGCGCCTTCTTCTTCCTTGGCTTCACCACGACCTCGCGCGCCTGGGAGAACTCCTTCTTGCACTCGGCAATCTCCACGCGCAAGTCGTCTACCCGATCATGCAAGTCCCTTTCTTTCTCTTGCGCCTTGTTGGCGATGCCATCAATCAGCTCGTAGAGCTCCGCCATCCTTCTCTCGAGCCTATTAAACTTAGTCTCCGTGTAGACCAAGTGTGTGGCAAGCTTCTCCTCCAAGCTCTGCTCTAAGATGTGGACTTGGTGGTCTCCTCCGCTAGCCATGTCTACTCCAACAAAGCTCCCTTGACGAACCTGCTCTGATACCAACTGTCACGGGCTTAGAGTTTCAGTACCACTCTAGCTGCTCCCGTGCGGCACCAAGACGTTGCTTTCACTCTCGCAAGTACTTGGTCAGCCTAACTCCCGTGCACACCTTAGCCAACACACTCCCCTCGTGCGCTTACTAGTGTTGTAGTTGCCCTCGCCCTCTCCTCACCTGGCTTGCACACTCACACACACTAAGGCACTTAAGTTGGCAAGGAAAGAACACTTCTATTACTTCAAAGAATGCTTTGTACAAGGCTAGCACTCAAGCTCTCTACAAGGCTCTCAAGACTCACTCTAGGACTTGTTGTTTGCAAAATGAAGTCCTACTCCTATTTATAGGCATCCCCATCCCTAATGGATGGCTAGGATGCATTCTAACCAACGGTGGAGATTAATTATCTAGAATCTTCTTCCACCTTCTACACATCTCCATACATATCTACAACATT